TCTTGCGTCTGTATCCAGGTTAACTCAGCGCTGAGTGCAAAAGCAATGTAAGCAACGCTTTGTAACCTGTTGGTCCTTGGATAGCACCACAGGGCCGGAACCATCCATGGCAGCAGGCTTCTCAAATTACAGTGAGTGATTTAGGAATTTCTTGTAGTATATTTTGGTCATATTCACCCCCAGCTCCTCCCATGCCAACTCTCTCCACTCTCACCTCACTACTCATCCAGTTACTTTTTTTTTTTAAATCATCATCTTCTGCTGAGTCCAATTTGCTTTGTCCAGCTCTGCTCGGAAGTGAGGTCAGTCTTGGAGTCACGTCATCCAAGAAAGCCGCTTCTCCCTCTCCCAGTAGCTACCAAATAGCAGTGGCCTCTCAGCCAGAGGCAGGGTTTTGTGCTCACCTCTCCTGCCTCTATTTCAGCCTGGACTTGTGTCTGGCTTGAGCTTGTGAAAGTCTTGTGCGTACCCTTGCAATCGCCACCTTGAGTTCATACATGCAGTGTCCGCGTTGTGTGTTTTCCTGCTTGTTTGGCAGGCTTCTTCCTTCCCTACGTGGCGTGTAAGCAACACCCTTGGGTAAGGCTGTCCCTGAAACCAAAGCCTGTCCTTGCCACTTCTCCAAACACCAATCCTCTGCCTCCTAATGGCATTTTAGGAACTGCCTCATTGCTTAATGGGGGTTGGCTGGTCATGTCGGATGACAGGCGATTCCAGCTTTATCGCTTGCCCTAGCTCTCACAGTCCTAGGACTCTTTACTTACAGACCTTGCCTGGGACTCAGTGGAGTTAATTCACTAGGTTCTTAGCCTCCTTCCCGTCAAGGAGTTAGGTTTCCCTTTCTGTGTTCTCTTCTGCCAATCGTTCCCCTCATTGACTTTCTAGCTTCCAGTGTTTTGCCCATTTTCACTGTTTTAGCCAATGGGAGAAGTAAATGGCATGTATTCCATTCATCATCCTACCAGGAAGTCATCCCCTCCGCTTTTCTCCTGAGTTCCACCTTGGAAACACTCATGCTTGTGAGTCCCTCGGTTCCCATGTCTCCTCTCCCCAGTAGCCACCTTTCTGACTCCAATGAAGTGAGCCTCTCGCAGGTTTCCTGCAGCCAGTTTGTTGCCAAGTTTCCATGCCACTGAGCTGGTTCTAGCCAGCCTTCTCCATGTCCAGTGACAAGCGCCTCCATCAATGTTCATCCAAAGTGACAAGCGCCTCCATCTGTGTTCATCCAAAACCTAAATGGCATTTAGGGTCTTCCATCACTAGTTTCCCTGCTATGATGCATATTGGTCAACTCTGTCCGTCATTCCTTCCTCCTCACTTCTCCCATGCATTCCACCACTTCCCACTCCCAACGTCATATGCTCTTTTTATACCTACTAAATCACTTAGTGCTGCGAGTATGTGCATGTGTACTGGACCACTCACTGGACCGTGGGCAGTATCCAGAACCATGTCCAAAGAAAACTGGCTGTTCCTCCTCTAGAAGCTACCAGTAGTGGCCAGTAGCTCCTCAGCCAGGCCTGGGACATCATGAGGCCTTCTCACATCCGCACTGGGATTTTGTCTGGGTTGGTCTTGTACATATCTCGTACATGTAGTCACTGGTGTCTGTGCAACATTCCTGTCATGTTCATAAGCAATCATCCACTGGCTTCGACCATGATCCCGGGAGTCTTGAGCACAGGCTCAAGTGACACTGATATCCTGTTTAGGACTGAGCAATCTGCAGTGCTCTATTCTTTGCAAGCTAATCAGTTGTGAATTTGTATCAATTGTAGCAAGTCTTTCTCTGTACCACCAGCTCCCAAATGAGTATATGGAGACTTGTTGTTAATTGTGAAAGCTTGGCCTTAGCTTAGGCTTGTCCCACTCATTTTTCTAACTTAAATTAACTCATTTATTTTAATCTACGTAGGGATGAACTCCCTGGTCATTGTCAGTTTTATTTTTCCTTGTCTTATTCGACTGAAGCATGTGTTGTCTTCAGCAACAGGGTCTTATTAATATTTCTGGAGTGCTACCAATATTAATCACAGTAGTTTGTATTGCTTTGGGGGCATATATGAGACTCCACTCTTAAAACTGTGCTTTTAGTTTAATGGCCTATGGTTAGTAACCGTTCCTATAGGTCAGCCACATAGTATGAACACATAGATTAAATTATCATTGTTTGGGGTTTTGTTGTTCTTGTTGTTTCGTAATTGTTTTTATTTTAGGAAATTTTCACCTCATAGCTTTGAATTTTGATAATGATATAGAATACGAGTATCTATTCTCAGTAGGAAGAAATGGATATGTTTGATGAAATGTACAGTCCCTTTTATTTATTATGTATAGGTAGTGTATGTTTGTACACTGGTGTATGTAGTATATGTATACAAACCTGTGTATGCGTAGGTCGATGTCTAGTGTCATCTACTAAACTCAGCACTCTCAGTTCTTCTAGACGAGTTGGCTAGAGAACACTGGTGATCCACCTGCATCTTCCCTCAAAGGATTAAGGTTGTAGCCATGTCCCACCATGTGTGGCTTATGTTTTATATAGACACTGAGGATTCAAGTCCTTGAGTTTGTATTGCAAGCGCTTTACCTTCCAAGCAATTGCTGCAACCCGTAACTTTTGTTTAATTCATGGTTTGGATTTACTTTTGTCGTACTAGAGGGAAATGAACCCAGGTCCTTGGGTACAGGAGACTAGTGTTCTACTGCTCACTAAACTTTGCCCAAGTCCTACAGCTCTAGGCATACTTTTAAAAGTAACTGTCTCAAGATATTCAGACAGTCTTTATACACACACACACACACACACACACACACACACACACACACACGCACACACACAAATCAAGACGATGTAAAACCCAGCCACTACATGGCATTTGGGATCTCCTGTTCTTCAACTCTATTGATACCAAAGGACAGAGACTCTGTTTAGTATTCTCAGTATATTCAAGTTACAAATTACTTAGTTGATACTAGGATATAGTCTGTCTGTATCAAAAAATATCCCTTGTTAAACATTTTATAGATATACTGTTACTTAGTTTGTTCAGCCAACCAGAAGTATGCTATCCAGCTCACTAAGACTGTGATACCTTGGGCCTAGTCAGGTCACACTCACATTCTTACAGGATCCTAGGTGATCCACAGACCATGAATTTAGTTTGGGAAGGCAATGTGACTATCAACATTTCTTTAAAGGAAGAGGACTCTTGTGAGATTACACAGTTAACCTTGTTAGATGCTGGCGTGGTCACTCTCAGCCTGATGCTTGTGAATGAGTTTGAGTGTGGACAACAAATAACAATCTCAGTTACAGCATGGAAATGTCACTAAGGGAAAACAAGAGCACTGAAAAGATCTCCTCCCTTTGTCTTAAGACAGGCAACAGCTTAAATGTTGTATTGTTTCCCATTACACTAACCCTCATTCACTGCTCCCCCAGATGGAATTACAGAAAAGAATATGCCACTGTGTTCCATCAGGAACATTTATTGCTCTTTTCCTCTCCTCTCCAACACCTATTAATTTATATTGGGCATTAAACTGTAATGCTGTTTCTTTGCATGGTAAAAACGCCCCTGCATGCATGCATGCCTTTAAATCAACTCATCGCTAAACAAGTACTAAGGGGGACATAGAGACCCGTGACCCCTGACACTCTCAGAAAGGTTGCTTCTGTCATCCTTCCTGCAAAGCACAGAGAGAGAGAGAGAAACAAATTTGCTGAGCCACACATTTCAAGTTGTCGACAACCCTACCCACTACAAAACAGAAGAAAATATATATGCTCTCTGTCCTGTCAAAAGGCTTTCACCTTATCTTGAGAGACTGTCAGGGCAGGAACATCAGTGAATGGACAGGAGTCTATTAAATTAATAAGCTTCTGGATGGTGTCTGGAGAGTTATGATGCTCTATAAATCCAGTTTGATCATGGTGGACGGGGTTTAAATCTGCCGACTTCTAATACGCATCCCGTTCCTGGATTGGATTTGAAGTTTTGTGCCAGAGACGCAGAGATAGTCCTACAGCATATGAATTAAGATTTATCTTCTCCCCCCTTTCTGTCCCCTTTCCCCCTTCTACTACTTACAGAAATGAAAGCACCTTAGGGATCGCAGCAAATGTTACTTCCAGAAATGAAAGAGCGGTTGTCAAGGTGAAAGCGTGACCTAGAAGCCTAAAATCAAACCTTGGCGTTCTATTCAAGCCGCCCCATCAGAATGGCGTGTGAAAGGTCTGTGTAGAAGGAAGGGTGCCCGAACTTATCTATAACCTGCTTTATAGTGATGCCTGTCAAATTCTACTCGTCTATATTTATGGCAGAAGGAAAACTAATGGTGTCAGAGTTGCCCTATAGTAATAAAAAAAATCAGGAAATATCCTCACCACATTATATAAAGGCCTCAAATCCAGCTCTTACTGTGATAGAATTTTTATTCGGGTTTTTACCTTTCAGCCACTGGAAGCCAAAGATTCACATTCTATTACACAAATTCCCAAGTAAACTGTTAATTTTAGTGGAAGAGCAAGCTATTTATGTGGCATGACAAGTCAGAAAAAAAGAGAAATGCTTTCAAAAATTATAAAATTCTCCCTGTTCAGTAAGTTTATTGCGCTGGGTATAGCACATAAAGCAAGAGTAAGTTGTCCATCACATGTTTATTTCCTCTGTTTATAACTTTCCTTATAAATGCAGAGATGGTTTTCTTGCTTTGCGTTCCTGTTAGAAAGTTTGTAGTGACAGGCAGAGCCTTGGCTGAGACAATAGCATACACCCATTTCGAGTTATTTTTAAGTCACCGTTGCAACACTCTATTATAGAATTGTCCCGCCCGCTGCCCATGGTGGAACATACGGAATCCCTCCAGGAGCAGGTGAGCTGTGTGAAAGTGCACCAAAGCTAGCACTCACTGCAGACAAAGCAGCAGAGCCTTGAACATCGATCCCCAAGTACTAAAACACCCCCAGTGGAAGCATCATGATTGTGTTAACTTACCTAAAAGATCATGGAGGTTTCTGTAGCTTACGACTTATTCGAGGGAAAGGATGCCCTTGGTCGGTAAGAACACCCGCCGCTCTTACAAGAGGACTTAGCTTCCAGCACCCGTGTTGGGTTACTCACCACCACCTGTAATTCCTGGCCGGCCCAGGGTATCCGATTCTCTCTTCTGCCCTCCGCGGTCACCTGCACTCAGAGACAGACATGCACACAACTAATTAAAAGTCCTATAGAAATAATAGTGTGTATTCACATCACAGAACTAGCAACTGAAGCGACATGCATTAAGTCCATCTGGTTTTTTTTATTATTATTCATTTATTCCCTCTTGGTCTATTTTTCATTCTTTCCTTTATGTAATACTTATCAAATTTATCAATGGACAGGCATGTTTGACAGGCACCATAGTAACAACCCATTCCCTTGCTCAGTGACATTTTGACAAGGATGCCAAAATTAATGATCAGCTGATTCACAGGTCCTCTCTCTCTCTCTCTCTCTCTCTCTCTCTCTCTCTCTCTCTCTCTCACACACACACACACACACACTCTCTCTCTCTCTCTCTCTCTCTCTCTCTCTCTCTCTCTCTCTCTCTCTCTCTCTCTCTCTCCTCTGTGGGGTTTTTCCATGGACCAAACTAAGAAGAGAAAAGAAAGAGTATATGAGTAAACTTCTTGTTACCATTAAAATTATCTGTTCTGGGTTTCCTCTTTGACATCTGAAATTCATTGACACTCTCAGTGGAGAGTTGTTTGAGATGTTTCCCTATAAACTTGCCAGGACATTTCTAAATGCAAACTCCTACCCTGGATTAGCAATATTCTGTACGCTGCTAGAAAGATTAGGTGGATATTTTGGAAATTACCTCATACAGCACAGTGTTAAATAAATCTCATCTCTGTCACTCTCTACTCCCACGACCAATGAACTATGTACCTAGCCAGGAAATGCTCAAGAAGACAGATGAATCCCCCATGATACTCTGGATCTGTGGAATACAGAGGAGGAGAAATGTGCAGGCCCTTGATTTAATGGAATCCCTACTTCTCGTTTTCAAATTCCCTCTTAGATGAGGCTTTGTCAATGGAAGGATCCAGGGTGCTCCCTCTCAAAGGCAAGAAGTGCATCTGATGGCCTCAGCTTCTGTTGTGATGCCAGCTAAAGGTTTGGAAGAGTCTAAGCTAGCGATAGTCTATAAACACCATCTTCCTCCAAACATGTATTTCTATTCTCATTCCAGAACACTGGGCACTTGTTGCCACAATATAGCCCTAGCAACAGAGAGAGTTCGGGATCTGCAGCTGAGTTCTAATAAGAAGGGCGTAAGAAATCATTGTTCAGTGAATAAATGGATGCTTTGCATCATTTGTTCTCACTTTCGCTTCTATGTTGTTAAGACCAACTTAAAAGAATAGATGTGGATGGGAAGCAATAAGGCAGGTAACAGCTTACAGTTAATGTGTTCGTGCTGTAGGATGAGTTCCGCTGCTAGCGTCTTTGTTGAGACTTGTCTGTCCTCATCAAGTGTTTGTAACATGAAGGAGCAGTGTTGCTTTCTACCCTACTGAACTCAGTCTCGCCAGGGAGAACTATTTAGGGAGCAAACATGGCTTACATGTAGCTTTCCAAATGTAGACAGACCATGTTAAAAAGAGAAAAGGAGACCACTAAGATTTGTAAAGTGCTTACTGTACAGAAAGCCTGTATATGTCATCTCCCATAGCTACTGGGCAAGAGTTCTTACATATGTCCTGGATGAAGAAGCTGGGAAGATGTTTTGCTTATGTTATAGAGTTAGTGTTGAATCAATATTTAGCCTTGGTTTTGTCCAAAAACTCATTTTTAAAATAAAAGGATACTTATTCTTGCCTATGTATATCACACTATAATTTGAGGTCTGTCCAATTAAATACATATTTCAGCCAGTAGAGGTTTTACTGTAAATATATTTTTAAAAACAGTATAAATCAGGTGAATTTCTGTCTATATAAAAATAAGAAAACATTTTGAGAAAACTATCCCAGTACAGCTGATTATAGTGTCCCTTATCTATTAAGTCAATATTAGCACATAAGAAAATAAATTTCTTAAGCATGCATTTAAAATATAAAATATATCGATCAATCCAGGAATTCCTTTCTATTCTAAACAACAAAAGTGCTATTTCTACTAATATAAACAGTGTGTGTGTGTGTGTGTGTGTGTGTGTGTGTGTGTGTATGCATGTTTAAGCTTCATATAAATAAAATCCAACAAGGGCGGGCATTGGTGGCACATGCCTTTAATCTCAGCACTCGGGAGGCAGAGGCAGGCAAATGTCTGTGAGTTTGAAGCAAGCCTGGTCTACAGAGTGAGTTCCAGGACAGCCTCCAAAGCCACAGAGAAATTCTGTCTCGAAAAAAAAAATCCAACAAATAATGTTTTGTGGCTTACTTTAGTCAAAATGATATTTTTGAGACAAATGCAGATTGTTTTGTGCATTAGTAATTTGTTCTTTCTATTGCTGACTAGTATTTCCAATCAGACTGCTCTTTATCAATGGGAATTTTAAGGTTAATTTTTTCTTTACATCTGCAGAAATGGATTCCTCAAAAGAGAAAATGAGTCTTTATTGAGAGAATCTGGAAGTCTCTGATATACCTCGGTATCACATCAAGGCACATATTTTAGCATTGTGCTGGGGGAAAAAATGAACCTAAATCAAAATCCTTGGCTCCTGTACCTATAGCTCTGTGACCTTTGTGCTGTGCTGACCCAATCAGCCTGTACAAATCTAGGCAAACAGCACCAATAGATTATCAGGTACTTCAGTCATCTTCACCAATCATCATCCTCACCACCTACCAAAGTGGTTCACCGATGAATGAAATTTAAAAGTTTCCCGATGATATTGCTGTGTGAATACACCTAGCTACTTCACTTTTCTGGTCTTCGTTTCCCTTGTCTTATTAATTGCTTTCCACAAAGCTAGAAAGCTCTTTAAAAAACACATTGGAATTCTTGCACGGCAACAGCCAACTCTATGGAAAATATCAGCATTATTGCTTCAGCTAATAGGCAGTGGCGGCTACTAAAAAGAATAACCAGGAAGACAAATGAATGACCAAAAGTACAAAAATTATTTAACAGAAAAAGAGTGGGCAAGCTCCTGAGAATGAGAATAAAAATAATGAGGGGATGGGTCTTGGAGGAATGTGGCATACTCACACTTAATTGGAGGCCAGAAATGAACACTACCAAATGATATCAGATAGCCTTGGCAACTCCTTATGGAAACCAAAGCCCCAAGAACAGCCTGATAATAGTTTAGCTATTATCCTGTGGCAAAATCTAAACCCTTGCTACAGAAATACATTTTTGGAGCAGCTTCTCAACATGCAGATGGCTCGTACATTAAAAAGAAAAAGAGCAAACACAGAAGTCTTCAGAACTGGGAAATCATACGACTAACAGCGGTTGGCTGCTGTGCCCTAACCTTCAACTCAGAGCATATGATGCACTAATGCTGCTGACCTGTTAGTTGAAACAAAAGCTCAGAAATGTTGGAACGGAAGCACATGAGACATGAGGGAGCGAATTGGTTCTTGGGTCAGCCAAAAAGTCCTCTGGTGTTAGGGGATGGGCGATTTGTTTAAAAAGACAAAAACAAATTAGTGATTTTTTTACTCTAAAAGAAAAAAGCATGTTGTAGCCTCAGTCACATCTAATAACCATTTTTAGCAAAATATACCCACCAGAGATGACTTTATAGATGTTTATAGGTTGCAAAACGTCTTTAAATTTTGAATCAAAGAAGCTCATACTAAATGTGATTTCAAATCTTTGAAGAAAAACAATTCTATAAAACACCAACCTTCGGACAAACTATGTCCGGAGTCTTTTGAGAATAGAGAAAATTTCTCCAATTAAAATATTAAAGTGAAACATTTGTCTGCAAACTACCAAGAGAGCACATGCATGTGTGTGTGTGTTGAGGGGAGTGTATTTTAATAGAGAATGCAGAAATGCTTTGAACGCAATAAGAATTACTTTTCTGCAGTCCCCCCCCCTCCCCTTGGGATAAGGGTTAAACAGCTTCCAGCATTCATTAGGCAATTGCCTTGGAATGGAAAACATGTCTTGTTCTACCCTGATATTAGCAAAGGGTAGGAGAAGAAGATAGATTCTTTCCAGAACTCTGTAGGTTGTTCTTAATATTAATTTGTTCTATAAATAATCGGTCAGTCCCTGCAAACTTCCTTGTGCAAACTGGAAACTTAAAGGCAATTGTTGATGGATGTGAGACACCACTGCCCGTGATTTAAAGAGCTATGACTCTGCTAGGTGGAGTGTGATCTTCAGTATTTGGAGCCCTAAATGATATGCAATAATGCCTCTAGCCTGGTGACCGTGGAGGAAAAGCTGGTTTGCCTCTACGCTGTCACATTTCCAATCCCAGTGCTTGAGCTCACAAGCTTGCAAGACAGCCAGAAGCAGCAGCCCTTTCTCTTCCTCCGCTAAAACACTGCCAGTGACAGGAGGGTGATGATGAAGAATGAGTCTCACCCACAAGTCAACGTGTGGCACTAAGAAAAAAAAATGAAGGATCGTACGTTCATTAGAAGTTGATTTTTAAAACCGGCATTGTATATACATGCATTTATACATACATACATAATAAATGGAAAATGATGTATGTGCAGACAGATACCTAGAGACTTAATACTCATGGTTAAAATTGTTGATCGTGAAGATGAAATGTAAATGGGTATCACCATGCCCCCTAGCCCCATATTAAAGTTCTGTTTTAATACCGACTATCCAAATAGTTACTGAGTTTCCCTATAAGCAATAGTAACTTTCAACAAATCCTTGCTGGTACTCTATAGCATTTCATATCATAGATGTTAAACTTGAGATCAAATATGATATCACAGAAACTGAATACAAGAACTGATAATCCATGAAGAACGTGAAATAGTCCTTAGATGCACATCATGGTCTAAAACGAGAAATATATTCTATTCCTTTCCAAAAGCAAACAGTTTGGCCCCTGAATAAAAGGGGTAGGTAGCTAAAGCTGGTATACAAGAAGGTGCTTTATGCTTAGAGTTGGCAAAATTCACAAACAGGGGAAAAAATGCTTCCAAACCCCAAAATAGTGAGGTTGTCAGTAAATATTTTAGAGAAAGAAAGTTTTAGGCAAAACTTGGTAACTCTGTGTGAGTTGCTTAACAATATGGAAAATCCAAAGAAACAGATGATAACAGAAACAGAAACAAGTTTTGCTTCTTGGTAACACAGATTACAAATCAAACTCGTGATAGAGGACAAGGGATAAAAACAGAAGGGGGTCATTCCTATTTCATAACAGCTGTGAAGGCTTGCTACAGACATGGAGTCATTCCTCAGGCTTCTTTTGGAGGGGACTGTGAATACTGTCTGTGTAAATCTTTCACCCTAAGGAGCCATCTATCTCTCTAATACGTATTCTGGGTACCATAACATTCCTGATAGAGGGAGAAATCTGTGAATTTCACCTGCCCCAAATAAAGGAGTTACTGCTTCGATTGCTGCAGGTATGTTGGCAGTATAGTTCCCATAGAGGCACCAGGAAAATGCAGCAGCCAACTTTACCACCCTCCTAGTCAGAAATCCCCATGGGGCTCTGTGTTTTTATTTTTTTCAAGGCGGGACTCAGTTTTCTCATCTAGAGACTTGTGTGGTGAAGACTGCAGTGTTAAAGCAAGCCTAAGGAGCAGCTTTGAGGCGAGGCTTCAAGCTTTGCCACCACGCTTGAAGAATTTTCTGTTTAATGTACTGTAATGCAGTATTCAATGGGGACACGTTTAATTGAGTTTTACACAACCCAGTTGGGAGTAGAGCTGCAAGGTAGGTGATGTCTAGGTTTTTAATCTTCCACTCCGGAGAGGCTTGTTGACGGAGAGGTTCTTTGAAAGGAAAAAAAAAAAAGAGAAAGAAAAAAAGTAAGCATGAGAAATGATACATCCGTGGATAAAACCAATTGGCAACCCCCGAAGGAATGAGGGCGATAAGGCGAATCCGGTACTTGTATGAAATAAAAGAGTCCAACTGTTCATTTAAATGAGAAACAACATGCAGGGTGGGGGAGGCTGGGAGGCTAGGCACAGGGGTGGGGAGGAAGGAGACCCTGAAGTAAGAGAAGCACCCAGCCTTGCTAGGAGGCCTTTCAAGGATACTGACTGCTGTTCATTTCAAAGGA